TTTCAAATTGATCTACTTTTCATGCCATTTTTATTCTCAGTGAATGATCCTTTTAAATACACATTAATTAGTTAATTATTAATAACAATTTTTTTTTAATATTTCTATGTTGAAGTGATTTTATGATACTAACAACTATTATTGTAAATAAGTTTCATGTGTAAATACGATATGTAACCTTTATTCATTTTAAAGTTTTGTTGTGTAATAACTATATAGGAAACATTGCGATATTACAATTGAAAAAAAAATATTATTATTTTATTGATTTTCAAAAACATACTATCAATTAAATAAAATTTGATATTTAAAATGGGTAATTAGCTTATAATAATAAACTTTTAATACACTGTTTTAAAATAACAAATTATTACAAACATCTTAGTAAACTACAAAAGAAAATCTATATTCTCATTTATCAGTAATTCTGATTACACCAAGACTAATTAATCTATATATTAATTGTGCAAGTTAGGTGTTTGCCACATCCTTTACTAACATCCGTGTTAATTTGTCCAATGTCTAAACTCATGACTCATCTGTATAATCTTCATCACAATTAAATTAAAAAGAATATGATAGTTGTTAATCCATCCCATGTCTAAACTCATAAATACAATCTTCATCACAATAAAAATAAAAAGAATATTATGATAAAGAATTGGATATGATACTTCTACAATTCAATTTTCATGCATGAAATATATTAACAAAATAAAAAAAAAATAAAGTAATTAATAAATATAATATACAAACAACTTGCTAAAGTGCTTACCTGAAATAGTTGCGAAATGTTGCATTTTTTTCAAATAAAACTACCAATAAAATATACTTTATTAAATTTATATACTACTTTTTCAATATATGCAATTGCATGTATATTAATAAGAACTAAATATGAAACTTTTAATTTTCATTTACATGATTGTATAGTAAATTCTGTATGGTACTACACAACAAAGGAATAATCCTTATTCACAGAGATTGAACAATGTTATTGATACATCAACAAACTAAGCCTAAAATTATTCAGGAAAAAAAATACAGTATTAATATGATATATATATATATATATATATATATATATATATATATATATATATATATATATATATATATGAATCTTAAAAATATAATGGTAGTGAATATAAACATGAAAAAAAAAAAATTAATACACATATATTTATGATCCGCACTTTTTTGAGTTGTCATCCCCACAATTAAAATTAGGCATGTCTAATTATGCCTAATATATTGAATGTATATCATCAAAATTACCGTCTTTATCATCCTCCGCATCTCTACAATCTTTCATAAAAACTAAACCAATAGGGTTCTGTTACAAATGTTCTTCCTCCTCAATTTCCTTTTGTTGAAGCAGAGCCTCCTTAAGTATCTTCAAACTCATACCAGACGATATAAACTGCAAAACATATTGAAGTACGTGAGAATATAGTTAGAAAAATGTAAAAAATTCATACAAAAAGAAGGAGAGAGATGAGTCTGAGATTCTTTGATTGAAGAAGCCTTTGTATTTATAGGTAGAAAATACTAATTCAAAAGGAAAGTATAATAATTTATTTATTTAAGGTAATAAAATTATTATTATTATTATTATTATTATTATTATTATTATTATTATTATTATTATTATTATTATTATTACTATTATTATTTATTTATTTATTTAATTTAATTTCCATTTGACATTTACTTAACAAATAAGTTTTACTACAAAAGTTTTGGGGGGAAAATTTGTTAGGAGGATTTTACTTATATATATATAATAATAATATAATAATAATAATATATAGATATAGATATATAGAAATATAGATAGTCAAATATACCATGAACTTTACAATTAAACACCTAAGTCCCTATTTGATAAAAAATTGGCCTATAGACCAATTTTAGCTTATTTGACCATAATAAATTATTTGATTTAGTTAAAATATCAATATACGTGTTTGGTTAATTAGCTTTTTGCAATTTCAAAATGTTAAAATTCACTTTTTCAATTATTTTTTTCATAAAAGAAATTATACCAAACTGCTATCAGCTAATTTACCAAACACTTTTCTACACCATAAACAGGGCCTAAATCTTTTAAAGTAACAATTAAACTCATCAACATAGTAACATTGTATAGTAATTAGGTTCCGACAAACGACTATTCTACAATTTATTACGTGTCTTAAATTTATTTACATACACATAATTTATTAATTGTAAACATATAATTTGTTAAACATACAATGTTTAATCCATATATATGTGTCAAAACTAACAAGATATCTGATTGGGTTTGTATATACCAATTTTTTTTATTTATTATTATTATTATCATTATTTTTTTTTTTTAAAACACCAAATTCTCATTTAGCCATCATATGACTAATTTGTATCCTATTAGAGAAATGACCATATTTGAACTGATCTGTACTAGAAAAAATTAAACTACATTCAGGAAATGCATATCAAGTAAAGTTAAGATGGAATGAGTTTAATTCATCCCTGAACCACTGCTCAGGCTAACCAAGTCCAACAAAGTAGAGTACAATACACCTAAAGACAAATAGCCTAAGAACTTCCTTCTTTCTGATTCCCCATTAGAAATGTCAACTTTAAGTTTGTTTTCATCCGAGTAACCATCCTCCATTACCAACCACCAAGAGATGCATCCTATAGGATCTTTGGGGTCAATATGTGCCACGAGACCAACTGTCTCGCCTTGCTCCAACTCAAACCACAATGATAAAAAGTCTCTATTAGCTTTAATGCCCACCATTAGAGCCTCCTCACGAAGCCACCGAATAACTTGGCTGGCTACCTGTAATAAAAGTTCCATAACATCTTTAGATAAAGCAAGTAGAAGAGCAACATATCTTGGTTATATGCTTAGGTGATTCTAGAACCCTGATTTTATTCCATAAAATTTATACCATCAATTAGTTGAACCCAATTAGAGGCATATGTAATCCCAAGTAATTTTTCATCACAGGCAGTAAAATAGTTCATGCTTCCAATTCCATTAAGGCAGTGTGAAAACAAGGATTTGAACCTGCTGCAGCAGAATGGCAGGAAGATCTGCTAAATCACAATCATATCTGTTGATAGAGCACGTGACCTCAGATTTTCCCTTGAACAGACCGACGACGTTGGGGGCACCTTCACCTTCCACGCTGATGCAATCATCATACACTGAAACCTTAGTCCGGAACTGAGACTTCACATTCTTATCCAGGTAGGATGCATGAATCTCGTTCCCTGCATTGAGAATTGACTGAGGTACCTTCATCAAGAGCGTCCATGACGATGTTCGAGAGTGCCAAGTGGGGTGAGATATCAATTCGACATAAGGTGTTCTGCTAACCTTCAACCAAGAAGAAAAGAATTTTGAGTTGAGGTTGAAATCTAGTTCCCTTAAATGAAGCAATTAACTTCATACCAGACATTCCAGCTCTGCAAGAACTTTGTTTGAGAAGATTCTGTGAGCCAGAGACATGCAGAAATGACTGAGAAGATTTGGACCATCCTTTGTAGGCAGACCAGATGCTTGAGATTTGACAGAATTCAATGATCTATTTTTGGCTCTTGCAAACACATGTTCATGGAAAATTTGTCGCAAATAAATTTCAAAACTGATCTGATTAAGATTCCCTAACTTCTTCAAGTCCAATTTACTATCATCTAATTTAGATCCAGCAAAAGACTCCACAGGCACTACTGCAGCACCCACATTGTCATCACCTTCACCATTGAATATTTGATCACCTTCATTAGATGACACAAGTGAGAGAGACACAGATGCTCCTTGACCAATGCCTAAACGCAAATAGTTTTCTTGAATTCCTGTCACATCAACACCTAAAGATGGGTTGAATGCTTCACGATTCACCAGATCAAATACCTGGAACCACATGAAATAGAAAAATGGTGATGCATTATTATTAGCCACACATAGGGGTGTTAGCGAACAGAGTTTTCGACAAACTACTCGTGTTTGTGTTCGGTAAACGTTCGTTTATGTTCGTTTGTTAAGGTAAACGAATCATTAACAAATAAAAATTAGAGCTCGGTTAATAAACGAATAGAGCTTGAACAATTGTATGCTCGTTTGCTAAGAGATCGTGAACAAGCTCGTTTGTGTTCGTTTAATAATGTTCGTGAACAAGCTCGTTTAGTGTTCGTTTAATAACGTTCGCGAACATGAACGTAGATTATTTCTTGTTCACGAACAAATTGTGATCATGAACATGTGCAGGTGTTTGTTTATTAAAGGTTCACGAGCGTGCTCATGAACGGACACCAACATGTTCGTGAACGTGTTTGTTAACGAACATGTTTGTGAACGTTAACGAACACGTACGTTTGTGAACGTGTTCGCCAACGTTGACAAACACGTTCGCGAACATATTCGTTAACGTAAACGAACACGTTCGTGAACGTGTTCGCGAACGTTAACAAACACTAATGAACGCTTAACAAACGAACACGAACATGATTTTCAAAAACCTTAACAAACGAACACGAACATGAACACTCCAAAATTCTTAACAAACGAACACGAACACCCTTCGTTCGTTTATGTTCGGTTCGTTAACAGCCCTAGCCACACAGGCACATATAAGATGCATCTTCATAGGGAGACAGGTTTTTTTTTTTTTTTTTTTTTTATTTTTTTTTTATTTTTTAATTGGATTTTTGCATTGGGTCAGGGGTGTTTGAAGAAGCAATACTGCAACAGAGAAATACCTGCTCATCGAATATGGCTCTATGGACTTCACGTAGGGTACAATGTGTTTCTTTCACATGTTCATCATCACTTTTCTCTTTCTTAGATTCTCCAGCAGATTCCGTAATGATGCCCCTCACTTTTGTCTTGGTAGATTTCCTAGCATTACCAGTTGAATATGCACCAAGAAACTCGAATTGAAGAGTTTGACATGAATTAGGCGGCAAATTTACAGCCAGCATTCCAGCTGGGTCATGCTCAATACGAATCACAGAAACAGACGAAGGACGGAATACAAATGCTGGATCATGTAATGTATTGTCAAATAAGTCAATGTAAAATCCCTCATTTCCAGAAGTGGCAGCCATCATCCGATGCCGTTTAATTTTCCAATTTTGCTGCAACCTATCCATTCATCACAAAATGAACTAATGATATACATTGTTCGAATAAAAGGGGCACCAATAAAATTTGAGTAATTAATTGGTTCATGCAGATGACTTTCAGACACTAAAAAAGTCTAGTATTGCCATCCTTCAGCATAGATGCAAACTCACCTTATCAAAGCACCATAAAATCTTGCTTCCCTAGCTACCTGCTTCTCCAATGCTTTTGCAGATTGCTTAAAATACTTCCCAAAGTGCTGCAAATTTGAAGGAAGTTAAGGAAGCTATACAACTGTTAGCGTAGCCGCGTAGGCATATGAAAAGGGAATGGATTTCAAACTAGAGAATCTGTCAAACAGAGATATTGGAAGGGTATGTTCACGTGCAATTAGTAGTAACTACTAAGTAGTACAAGGAGAATGCCAAAGATACTAAAATGATTTGGAAACCTACCCGAAAACTTTGCAGCTTGGTGGTCATAGATACAGCAAGGTCAGATAGAAGCTCATTAGGTAATTGCTTCGGCCTGGTCATGCTAGCCACTGTTACTGCATCATTTGCTTCCACCTGGGTGCAACATACAAAGAATATGCTAAATATATCCTCTAATTTTCTTGCAATTAACTTACATGCTCATTCAATCAATATTGTGCACCACTTAAAACTGAAGAGAAAATGGTGAAAGATTAAGATTTTCCAAACAGATCATTGGGGGGTGATAAGTGCCAAATGAAGCAGCAAAAAATCCAAAGCCATTCAAGAGAGAGGCCCTCACTAAATAAATTGGGTCTCTTCCGCACATTATTCATTTAATTAGCACCCACGCACATGCATACATTCAGTTCTTTTATTAAATTTTAAGTATATACATATGTAAATATTGATAGTGAGGAGAGAAAACATGCAAGGGGCTGGGGACACTTGGAACAAAACATAGACTAGGCTGCTTCAGTAATTTAAAGTATGCATAAGCATGATTGAAAAAAAAAAATCGCTAGGCGCCCATGTATTTTTTTATTTTATTTTCTAAAAATTTGTTTAAAATTTTTAAATTTTTTTAAGACTAATAATTATAAACTATTTAATAATTATTAATAGTTAATACTAAAATATTAAATATTAACCTAAGGAACAACATCAAGAGTTTTAACAATTTAGGGTTATTTAGCTCAAAACTATGTCGTTTTGAGTGAAATAACCCATTTAAAAAAAAAAAAAAAAAAAAGCTAATCAGCGGACTAGGCGGTCTAGTCCGCGCCTAGGCCCGGCGCTTATGGTGATAAGCTAGGCAACTAATCGGACCCTAGGCTGCACTCTGCATAAGAAATGTCTACCCACCTCAGCATACAGCATCCATGAAAAGCTAAGCAAAAGCTTTCAATCTTGCATTCATATCTAAAAGATAACTAGCACAGTAGCACCTAAATCATATTAATGCAGTCACCTATCCAAGTTATCATTCACTACAATCAACATCGAAATGCACACTGACGTGAATAAAATAAGGAAGCAGAGAACAGATGTTACAGTATTGATGAGATCGATGATGACAGAGAGCTCTTGATGAGCCAGCTGCAAATTCTCCACCAAGCTCTGCCACGGCCATGGTTGATTGGCGCTTGTCTCCTTGGACGAAGAACTCGAGTCTGCACTACTCTTCTTCTGCTTCTTACTCGGATCCTCTCTCTCCACCGCCCACGCGAAGTCAATTCTCCTTATCAAGCTCACCGTTTTCTCATCGTACCCAACATCGCTTCTAAGAACACACAAAAACGCGTCAATGTCAAGCTCGTAAACATACACTGATACATAAGAGTACAGATATGGAGCTGGGGAGAAGAACGCACGAAGGAAACCGTTCGTCGCCGTTTTCTTCGACGAACTCTACGCGTTTGATTGGGAGCTTGTCGAGGGAAATTTGGAGGTCTTCTTCCATGTTCACCGGGATTTCATCGGGAATTTCTGAAATGAACCCTAATTGAGATTCAGAGACCGTCGTGATCGGGTTTTACTCTTCTAGTGAATATTTGTGGGCTTGTTTAATGTTTGTATATTCCTGCTTGGGCCTACTACGACCCAAATACTTTGGATTCAAAATTTATATACTTCCTCTGTCCCATTTTATGTGTCTTCGGTTAACGAGGCTTGACTGAAATTATTTTTAATCAAAATTTTCATGATATTAAGTTTAGTATTAGTATACAAAATTTATATATTTAGAAACTACACTAAAATGACTATTAAACACAAAAAATTAAATTTAAAAATAAGTATAAAATCTAAAGAAAATAAACAAAAAAAGAAAGAGTTGTTTGACCCATAAATAATAAGTATGATAGATAAAATGGAACAGAGGGAGTACTTGTTGGAAAAATAGCATTAAAATGGCATTTAAGTAGCTATTTTGTGGTACAATTATCAGTGGGGTCCACTTCCAATTTCGGTCGGGTCAAAGCGGATTCGGGTTCTTCGTAGTGAGACGAAGAGATTGATATATTGTACGCTCAAAATGGATAATGGGTGAATGAGATATTGATTCTCAAAGTAGACCCATTGAGTTGGAAAAATGAAGGGAAAAGTGAGCTTTGTCCCACATTGGTTTGGAAAGAGGATTTCACCCCCCATTTATACAAGAGCTTTTTTAGAACTTGTAGAATTGTATAGCATAGAGGCTCTCTCGCGCGGGGGGGGGGGGGGGGGGGGGGCGCAAATCAAATTCCAACTAGAACGAGATCGAAGAGGCTTGATTCAAGCCCTGGCCTTACGGGCTAAGTCATGCCAACTTTCGGTATCATTTTTGCCCAGGCATGAGCCGAAACATGATGTTTCAGCCCCGGCCTTGGGCGAAACAATGTTTCTGGCTTAGGCCGAAACTTGATCATTTCGAAAGCAGAGGCCAAAGTGACTGTTGCAGATTAAATTCATCCGTTACGGAATTAATGTCCTATAAATTTCAATTTTTTTTTTTTGAATTTAATCTCAACTTTAGTGGCCTGCTGTTTCAAGTGATAGAGAATTGGTTTAATACCAAATTTAATGTCATAATGATGCTATTGAATCCTTCATACCCTATATAAGAAGGGAGTAGGACAGCAGAATTTTTGCAATGGAGTGAACAAGCACACAACACACGAAATTTTTGTTTTTCAAGCTTCAAAACTCTGCTTCTACTCATTTCTTTGCCTAAACTGTGTTCATAACTTTGCTCTAGTTCGCTGGGTTCGCTCGTTTGGGTGCTCAAACGTCGAACCGTAGCGCGTTTTATCCTGGAAACCTAGGCCACAACGCTCATAGCACTTGTGGGAGGTGGCAAATAAGGTTTTAATGAAAGAGTGGTCTCTTGACTCACGCTAAAAACCCTTACCTAAACACGAGCCAATCTTTCCTTCTTTCGATTTTTGAATTATGCTTCTAAGCAAAAATCCTTCTTTTGATATAGTTTGGTTGGAATTATAATCCTCTGTGGATTATAAATTCCATTTGGTTGATATGTATATATCTTTTCTGTAGATATTCATGCATATAACCATGGTGGTCTGATTTATATATACATTTGTGTGTGTGTGTATATATATATATATTTCGGATATATATCGAATAATATTTTATATACTTCGTGTGTGTATGTATAAATATTATTTTACGATATTAAATCGATTATTGGTTCATTATCACCAACAGTACTAACGTTACGAGTATGGATGTCAATTCAACTCGATCTTGATGGAGAAATTTGGCCTCTGTCCTAACGAGATGAGGACGAGGAATTTTTTTGAAAAACGGGGTAAGATATATATCTATGATTTAGTTTGATTCTCTCACACACACACATATAATAGTATAGTCTTTGGCCTTGTTTAGCAACTCAGCGGTTAGCGATTAGCGTTAGCGGATTGTGTTAGCGGTTAACAAATAGCGGATTAGATTAGTGAGTTTGACCAGCAGATTGTATCAGCGATTTGTAAAAAAGACGTTTGGTAAAATTAGCTGTTTAGATTAGCGGTTAACATGTAAAATGACCCATAAGGACATTAGTGTAATTTTTTTATTATTATTGGTAATAATATTATAATAATTATAACTATATAAAAATTATTAATTCAAATGAGCAATACATTTGAAATTGAATAAAATAAGTGTGAGTGTATGCCACCAAATTAAAAAAAAAATGTAATTGTATGATATTAAATTTAATTAAGAATTAATTAAACAAGCCACCAATTTATGGGTTCAAAATGTCTGTTTAACATAACATTTTAAATAGTAAGACAAATATTCATTCATCACATAACATCTTAAATAACATCACAATGTACTAATTTTAAACAAGCCACCAAATTTTTGATTTGTCTAAAAACACATGTACCCAAACCGTATTAAGCACTAATACACAATAATAAAAACTAATTCATGAATCCAATGAGTAATTGATGCTTTCTTGGGTTGGAAACGGTGTAGAATCTCTTGCACGAATTGAAGATTGTAGTTTGTCCTTAGCTTTTTCACGCTGTATTTCCTATATCACAAGCAAAGAAAATGTTAAGTTATAAAAACTTATGAACACATTTACTTTGGTTGGAAAATTAAAATTGTCACTCACCTGTAGTTTACCAAGTGAAATGTATCGTTCAGTATTAGATGTTGCAACTACGTATTTATTAGATTTTCCTGGCTAGTTTTATGAAAAAGAAAATTAGTTCTATGTGCTAAATAAAAAGTGAATTAGTATTGTAAAAAAAAAAAATATATATATATATATATATAAGACAAAACTTGTTTGCTTACATTAACAACTGAAATTTTTTTTGAATGTCTGCTTGTTGCATTTTGTGTATGATGAGATGAACCAGCTTGAATAAAGTGCAATGAACCAGCTCGAGTAAGGTGCAATGAACCAGCTTGAGTAAGGTGCAATGAACCAGCTTGCCTATTTGCATTTTGTGAAGGTTCATATGTACTAGTTTGGCATGGAACTGGAGTAGGGTGAGATGGCTCAGGCCTTGTCTGTCTACTTGCATCATTCTTCATTTTTTTTGTTTTCTAAACACATAATAATACGAGTCATATTAGTAAAAAAAATTAAAAAAAAAAATCAATCAAACAAACAAAGAATAAATGAAGAAATGTAACAGTAGTACCTGGATATTAGGCCTTTGATAGTAAGGATCTACCACTTTTGGACATCTTAGCCTATTATGTCCTTCTTGTCGGCATATGCTACACTTCATTTTTCTTCCGATCCTAGACATTTTAACCTTTTTACGACCTTCTAATTCTTCCCTTCTTCTTTCCTTTTGTGGTCTGCCAAACACCTTTTTAACATAAGGTGGCAAAATTTCTTCTACATTTCTTTTAGGCCAAAACATTGGCCCTTTCACTGGATGAAGCATGTGCTCGTATGCCTTTAGATAAACATCCTTCTTAAAGTAATTATCTAAATATTTTGTTGGATCTTGACCCTCATACATAATTGCTGAGATTGCATGTTGACAGGGAACTCCACTTATATCCCATCCTCTACAACTACAACTTTTTTCCTTTATATTCACAGAGTAACTTTCCCTTGTTTGTGCCTCAACATTCTCCCAAGAAACTTCATGATGATCTCCCCCATTCCAATCAACCTCCCAAACTGCTGCCAATTTTCTATTTTTCTCTAATTTTTGAAGTTGTCTAGGTGCATAATCAGTCTTCCAATTTCTCCCATACTCCCTATTTTTGACTAATCTTCTCATAATGTAAACTCTAATCTCTTCTAACATAGAAATTATTGGCTTACACCTAGCCTCTAAAATCACCCCATTTAATGTCTCACACATGTTATTATCAATTACATCACATTTTGAGAAGTCAGAAAAAAATGCTTGACACCAATGAATTGGATTCCGCTGTTGTTTCAAATAATCATGTGCTTCCTCATCTATTCCAATGATCAGTATTTTCTCTTCCTTGTATAATAGACCATGCAATTGGGAACATTTGGTTGTTCCCATCTCTTCCCACAGCTACCAACATCTGTCCTTTCACTATTCCTTTCAAAAAACAACCATCTAAACCTATGATTGGCCTGCATCCGTGCATAAAGTTCTCCTTAATAGCTCCAAAACAAATATACATTCTATGAAAAATTGCTGGTTCCTCTGGTGTAACTCTATCCACCTCAAGTTTCACTGTGGATCCAATGTTAGTTGCCATAAGTTCATCGCCATACTCTCTCAACCTTTTAAACTCATCTATGTAACTTTGCTGAATTTCTTTCATTACAAATAGTTTAGCTCTTCTGGCTTTGGGTAAATCAATTGTCAAACCCATTTGCTTCCTGACTAAAGCTCGAATGTTCCTTGCCTTCATCCAAGGCATCTTAGTGATGTCATCTTTTAACCTTCTACCAATTATTTTAGATGTCACCCGACTATTTTTAGATGTAGGTAAACAATTGTGCTCTGAATGATAAGTTTTTACTCTGAATGAGCTATCATTACCATGTATAGAAGCTAATATCTCCCATTTACATCCAGTAGCTGAACACTTTGCCCTAACTCTAACACTATCATTCTTCTTAAAAGTATAAGCAAATTGATTCTTCAAAGAAAATTCACTTAGGGCCAACTTAAATTGCTTTGAATCATTAAAAATTTGCTCTAAAAAGAAGTCTTCAAATGTTCCATTTGGTTTGTAATGCAACCCACTTGACTTGGACCTTTGAGCATCATCCACATCTGAACCTTCACTAGTGGATATATAGCTCCCAGGATCGGAAGAGGAAATATAATCACTATGACGTTCATTATCTGCTAAATGTTTATTTGATGGGCCATCATCATCTTTTATATTTTTATATCTTCTCTTTTTTGTATTAACCAATACATCATCATCAACTTTTTCTTCCATCTCAATTCTCAGCTTTTGTATATGTTCATGATATTGTTTAATTTTTTCTCTACTCAATGCTAATTCATTTTCTCCTTCATCACTCAACCATAATAGCTGAACATCATTTATATCATCACCATTACTTTCTAATGTATTTTCACATCTTTCTCCTTCACTTTCAACATTCTCAGCTTCATCACTTTCATCTCCACACTTTGCTGTCTCAAAAAAGCTATCAGGAATTGGAATTTCAGCATGAGTTACTGCTTGTCCAACATAGTCAGTATGTTCAACAAATAGTGAAATATTTCCAGACTTCTCCAATAATGCACACATACCATGAACACTCTCATCATCAAATAGAATTTTCAAACTCCCATCAGTGGACTCCAGTTCTCCATAATATATACTTTTAATCTCATCTAACTTATACCCTAAATTCACTACCATTTCAAGTAAAGTCCAATAACATATTGTATCAACATCAACATCTTCAAATACATTCATTTTTCCATTTAAATATTCTACAGTTTGAACCAATATTCCTCCATGATGAAAGCAAATACTGTTTTTTTTTCAAAGTTTCAATTCCTGAAATATTATAACTCCAACTTCAGTTTGATAAATATAACTATTCTAAATCAAGCATATCAAAAAGGCAAAGAAAATAAAAATAGATTTAGCTGTAATCTCTCTACGGCAACAATACAGTGAAACAATTCAGATTTTATTTCATATTTTCAAAGCTGACAGGATCGCAACTAGCAGATGAGAAATTTGAATTTAGAGTAAGAGATTACAGTTCGCAGATCGCAATATTGCATCTAATTAGAATTTTCAGAGTTTGGTTCAAGAATTAGGATAAAAGTAACTGGAGAATTTTATTTCTGTAATTCGATAATGTGATGCAAACATGTAATTTGAAGTTAAAAAGTTAAATGGGTGAAGAGATACCTTGAGTTGTTTCTTCAATTGTATCATTCTTGCTTCTTCTTGAATCCATGAATTTAGGGTTTATGCGCTTAGTGTGATTTCGAGACCAGAGGAGTACGCAGAGCAGAAGAGGAGTTAAGCATATCTGTGAGTAAATGCCTTTTCCATTTTTATTCTTTAGTACTTCAAAATAATAACTGTTATTAAATAAGTATAACTAATAATAACCAAATATTCTGTGTAGCTTAGTGGTGTAGAACTCATCCTCTAAAGCAAAGGTTCCTAGGTTCGAGTCTTAACATTCTTTTGGTCGAAATTATATTATTTTATGCCACATCACACAATCTGACATGGCAAATTCAACGCCACATGGACAAACTTAACGGAAAAAGTTAACGGTGTTAAATATTGTCCTTAATTGTTCTAAATCTTAAAGTACAGGGATTAAATTGAACCAAATTAAGGTACAGGGACTAAATTGAACAAAATGCTACAGTATAGGGACCTAGCAGGTACTTTGTCCAAAATAATGAAATCTCTGCCCAGTATCATTTTCGAACGCATTCAGTTCTTGTCGTGCATTCATATTGCTTTGATCGTGCCCACTATCTTTAATTCTTGTTTATTTCTCTTATTTATATCACTTGGCCCTTATTCAAAGTTCAAAAGATTAACAAAAGTTCCTCATTTTAAAGTGAGCAAATTATCTTCTATAGAAATAGCTAGTTTGCCACATTCTGGGTGATAGATAGACACAGCTTTTTCCTTAGTTTATTGGTAAACAACACCCTCTTCAATATATTTTTAGACTTATAAACTTCTTCTCTTGGTAAGTAAGCATGAATATACTTACCTTGGTGAATGAAAAATATAGCAAATTAGTTACTCATGAAATATGAATATAGAAATTAATAAAACAATTATATTTAGGACATTATACCTCTTGATCATGGAAATTGCATTTTCTAATTTTGTTACCGCTATATTTAGGTATTTCATATGTTCTCACTGATTGTTGTTTCATTACTTTTTTCTTTCTTTCTTTCTTTTCGTTTTTAAGCTAAGAGGACTGATCTCACTAGTCAAAATGAACATTCCAAGCATTTTGATATTTGTGAGAGATAAATATTTCTGATTTAATAGTTGTGTGAATGTTATAGGCAATCTATATCGTGCACCCAGGCGCACATAGCAATGTGTGCCCAGGCACAAAACGCGCGCGTTTCATGCTGACGTCATACTGACATCACTCCGTCCACCCGAACAGACCAAACCTCATTATGTGTATTCAGTTAAAATTTTGTGTATTTTGTTATGAGTTTATGTGTATTCAGTAAAGAGTTTGTGTATTATGTTAACCAAACTTATTATGTGTATTTAGTTAAAAGTTATGTGTATTGTGTTATGAGTTTATGTGTATTATGTATTATGTTAGATTATGTGTATTCTGTTATGAGTTTATGTACATTCAAAACAGGGATTTTTTTTTTTTTTTTTTTTTTTTTTTTTTTTTTGGAAAAAGTGTCAAATTGGCCCCCTAAGTCAAGTGGATAGTGCAATTGGGTCCCATAAGTGAAAAAAAAAAGCTTCATTCAAGTCCCCTAAATCGATAAAATTGTTCAATTAAGTCCAAGTTGACTTGTTTATCAGGTTAAAGGCATACGGTGTTGACACGTGTCCTTATTTTATTTTATATTAAAAATACTATTTATTATAAATTAATAATAATAATAATTAAAATTAAAAAAAAAAGCCATGGCCGACGAAGGAAGACGACCATGACCGTCTTCTAAATTTGGACGAGGGCTACGGCCTTGTCCGCCGCCCTCGTTCCAGACGGAGGGGACTCGTCGTTCCAGTCCCCTCCGTCTGGAATGAGGGTGGCGGCGAAGGCAGTAGCCCTCGTCCAGATCTAGAAGACGGCCATGGCCGTCTTCCTTAGACAGCCATGGCCGAACGCCACGACTGTCCTTGAAGAAGGAAGACAGCTACCGGGTGTCCGGCTGCCCAGAAAGTATCCCAAGCTGCCCAGATCCTTTATTTTAAATGCGGTGTCGAGGGAGGACTTGA